AAATGCACAAACATATTTGTGACATGATGTACTTGTGTGTGTGAAGTTTGAACTTGATCAATCCAGACATGTCTCAGATACGGATCCAGAACTGAATTCTTTAAAACAAAATGGCCGCCAGTCGGCCATTTCGAACTTGATCCGAAAAAAAAAATAATGTGCATCAAGGTCCTATTATGTTTAATGTATGTACCAAATTTGAACAAAATCCGTCCATGCATAACTGAGATCCGGGTCCAGAATGGTGAAAATGTGCGATTTCAATGCATTTTCGGCCTTAAAGCGGCCACCATTTGGCTATCGTTAATGAAATCATGAAACAAATGCACATACATATTTGTGACATGCTGTACCTTGTGTGTGTGAAGTTGGAACTCGATCAATCCAAGCATGTCTCAGATACGGATCCAGAACTGAATTCAATTCTTTAAAACAAAATGGCCGCCAGTCGGCCATTTCAAACCCTATCCAAAAAAAAAAATGACGTGCATCAAGGTCCTATTATGTTTAATGTATGTACCAAATTTGAACGAAATCCGTCCATGCATAACTGAGATCCGGGTCCGGAATGGTGAAAATGTGTGATTTTGATGCATTTTCGGCCTTAAAATGGCCACTATTCGGCTATCGTTAATCGGATCATGAAAAAAATGCATGTGCATATGTCCCATATAATGTGTGATGTATGAGTGAAGTTTGAACTTAATCGGTCCATGCATGTTCGAGATACAGGTGATCACGGACGCACGCACGCATGCACACACACAGGGCAAAACATAAGTCCCCGTTTTCGGACTACGTCCGAACGGGGACTAATTAGTTAATGTTATTTATCTAACCATATAAACTAACTGACTTTCACCATTGCTTTCTTCTCATTGTGATGTCACACAAAAATACTGATTTCATGTAATTAAAATATACGTTTTTAACCTTTTCAGCATAAGACTTTCTAACCCAAATTTCCTACAGTCAATTTTCAGTTTTTACTCACAAAATTTGTCAATTTTGTCCCTAGCTTCTGAAGGAAAGTGAGTATAAACAGGATTATTGGTGGTGAAAAGGTTATTAAACCTTCAAACACTTTGCAATGAGCAATATGAAGCATATGATTGCCCATTTCATTCAAATAACAGCTTTAGAATTAGAATTAGCTTCACTTTGAAAGTATTTTTTTTTACTGATTTATATAAAATCTATAGAATTGTATGCTGCTCTAAACATTCAGAGTAAACCTGTGCAATTCCCAATGTGTTAAAAACCATACATACATCTACCAGCAAACCCTAAAGTTTTTTATTGTTGGAAATAATGTTTATGGTGTCATACTACAGTAAATACAGTTAAAAAGGTCTTTCAACTTTACGGTGTTTTTGTCATAAACAGACACAGACAGTTCTAGTTAAATATGTCTGTAAACATTTCATTAGAAAGAATAAAACACTTAAATAACTGTAATAAATTTTTATTTATACCTAGGGTGAATAACTTGCATTTCTGGAACATACTGGCCATATGTAATGAATAATATAAGCTGTGAATAACATATATTTATTTATTTGCAAATTAATCATGTTTTAATAAGTACAAATGTTTTAATTAAGGAATAGTCATCGCCAGGAAGGTATAAAATGGATTTCAAATATCACCTTTTGATTTGTTGTACCCATAGTACGGTAACATTTACCACATAAGTGATTCTCATTGGTCAACTGAGAATCTTAATATTTTGCCTGGATCATTTAAAGCGGGATGGTCGTCACCTGCGTACGTGTGTGAATTTAGTCCCAAATGATGATAACAACATACGCTAAAAACACAAAGGCTCATGATAAAGCGGGATGGTCGTCACCTGCGTACGTGTGGGAATTTAGTCCCAAATGATGATAACAACATACGCTAAAAACACAAAGGCTCATGATGGGTAGACGCTTGTTTGTAAACAATGACGCACTATGGCCATTACATGATCTGACGCATGCGCAGGTGACGACACCCCTGCTTTAACTAATTCATAAACATATCTAGAAGCATTATTGTAAACCATTTTTGACTCTCGTGTTTGAAGCACACAATGGGAATTTTTGCAGTTACCCTGTCTGTGTGTTTGTACGTGTGTTTGTACATGTGTTTGCTATGTCTGTTCCACCGATACCTCAAAAACCACTTGTCGGATTTCAATGGATCTTGGTACATTGATGCTGTGGGACAATGCACAGACCTGAATAGTTTTTTGTTTAAATCTGTGCATATTAATTATTACATAATTTGCATAATAATTTGCTGTTTTAAGCTTTCAAGCTAGTACATGTATATCTCACAAAGCAAGAATCTGATTTCAATGTAATATCTTACAGATGTTTCTAGTACCTCTACTCTAATTGAAATGAAACACATGTGCTTTTGAATAATCGACAGACCTGATTACTTTAAGGTTTTGAAATGCCATGCATATAAAATATTCATTACCTAATTTGCAAAAATTGGGGATTTTTCTGATATTTCAATAACCTATCATATTTCAATGAAATCTGATTCATTCGTGATCTGGGGTAAGCTACACACGTTTAGTTTACGGCCAAATTTTTAGCATACTAAATACCTAATTTGCATAAACTACAACCAATTTATAGATATTTTCAGATATCTATTATTTGTTATCCTCTTCAAATAGTATTTGTTCTCAAAGGGTGGGATATATATGTCAATAGAAATTATAAATCTGTAATTAATTTGAAATATTCTATATTTGTACTACATGCCACCGCTACCTTCAGTACATGGGTGCTCTTTTCCTCTTTTCTTTCAATTTGCCACTCTCTATTATGAGGGCATTAGTAGATGAAGATGAAAATATTATAATAAAATATTAAAATATTGACTTCAAGTGCAACATAATACACGTAATGTAAATAACAATAATAAAGAAAATGTAAATAATTTGAAAATAATTTGAGAT